TTTAATATTAATTGAGCCGTTGGGTACTTACCCCGGTCGTAAAACTCGTGGACAGTTCTCCGCACAACATCGGAATCGAAATCATCCAGCTCTGAAACAGTTTTTGCACGTTTATACCCTTTACGTGGAGAAACAAACGTAGGATCCGCACCTGGTGTTTCTGGATTAATATTATTTTTTCCTTCTGCACAAATCCGTCGTACAGTACGATAACCAACCCCACAAGCTTCAGCAGTAACAACTTTCGCATTTTTAAAAAAATCAGCAGTTAAATCTGACTTCTTTGATAATTCTTTTAAAAATAAATAAACACTATAAACAATTTTTTTACTCTGACTGTGAGTATCTGAATCAGAAAACGACATTTTTAAATGGATAACACGGTAACGCAGGAGAAAAAATAGTGTAAAAAAATAGTTGTTTACGAGCGCACAGTAAACAACATACAAAAAGATAAAACACGAGTGCCATAAAACGTGTTTGTATTATGTGTATTACTGTATCCCCTACCACAGTACATTCTGCAGCTGCCCTCCAGGCTTTCCAGAAGATCCGCCAAGGGTGCACAAAAAAAACCAGTCTACTATACTGTATGGAATACACATTGCGCGCAGACGCGTGGTACTGCGACCGTCGTGCGCCGGGCAGGAGGTGGTATAGGTTGAGAACCAATGGCTAACAGGCAGGGAAGCCGCAACGGGTCGCGGTTCAAATCGGCCACTTTTCATGTCGCGGACTATAAATTGTACACACGTGTCAAGGCTGACTACATATAATACATATTAATTGTATATTTCAACAGAAAAATTGAAATTTGAAAAATATTTAAAAGATGCTGAAAGTTCTAAAAATATACATTTAGAAGATCAAAAAAGTAAAGAAGATCATTCATTTCTATGCACCAGTTTTGACCTACAAAAAGTCCTCAATACGCCTCACGGAAGTAGTATGTTATTATACTATTCAAGAAAATATGCTATCTATAATGAATCATTTTACGAATGTGGTACAAAAAATGGTTACTGCTTCATTTGGGGCGAAGAAAATGGTCAACGTGGAGCTAATGAGATTTGTTCGGTAAGAGTCAAATATTTAACAATTGTAGGCGAAAGAGCAGAAATTAAAAAAGTGACATTATATTGCGACTCCTGTTCTGGGCAAAATAAAAATCATCAAACATTATCGGCAATATCTTGGTTCATTTTAAAAAAGTCTAAGAATATCTAGGAAATAACTATTACATTTTTGCAACCTGGTCATACTTACATGCCTGTTGATTCAGTGCATGCTACCATAGAATCAAATTTAAAAAATAAAATTGTTTGGGAACCTTCAGAATTATGGTAAATGCAAAATTGAATCCAAAACCGTACGATGTATACACGATGAGTCATAATGACTTTATGGACTTCAAAGTATTACAGCATGTCAGCATGCAATCTTTCCTAAAATAGTTTTAATAAATGGAAAAAAATTCAGCGAAATACAAAAAGTATATTTTTCAAAATCGAGAGATGTGAAAATATCACTTGGTTACGAGTTGGACGCTGAGTTTGAAATTATAAATGTTACAGCAAAAAGAACAAAAAGAAAAAGAAATGAAATTGGTGTATTGATTCATGCGTATAACTCAAAACTACCAATATCTGAAGCAAAGTATAAAGATCTGGTAAAACTTTGTGAAACAAAAGCGATTCCACCGAGGTATCTCCAGGAATATTTATCTATGTCGAGGAAAAGTACAGTTAAAGATGCATTGGCAGAAACGGACGACGAGGATGATACCAACCTGGTTTAATAGTTTTATATTTTGTTTTATTATTACTTGGGCAACTAATTTTATTTTATTTTTAAATGAAAACAAGTTGTTATACATTTTTTATTTTTTTTTTATTATCATTCGAGGACCGAATTTTATTTTATTTATTTCTAAACGTAAAAATTAAGTTTTTATAAATATTATAATTTATAGTATTACAATTTTGTGTTTAATTATTCAATAATTTCATATTAACAATACCTACATATGTTATTGGTGTACCTATTTCATATACGAACAAATTTTGAATAATATTAATTGATTAACATTTTAGGTTTCAGCATGTGGGTTACAACAATGTGGCATAATGAAGAAAAAAGTCTCGAGGCTTACGTTTTCTTATTATAACAGTTTTATGTGGCTTACAGCATTTGTCACTATTTATCATTATGGGTTACGACGTTAAAATAAATGATAAATATTAAAATTATAGAGTTAAATAGTACGATGGGTTACGACAATTGGTTAAACACAAGAAAATTATATGAAATTTAATATTTCATGATAATCCCATTTTCGACCAAAGTGAGGGTTACGACAATTGGCCTTTTGACCATCGATATTAAAAGTTTACCCCCGCTTCATATTTTTCATTTAAGTATAACTCCGTTGCTATTTATGTTAGAATCTTCATTTTTACATTAAACATTTTTGATTTTAATTCTTTATAAGTCCCTTTTTTAGTATCATAGTGTAAAATCATTTTTAAAGATTTTTGGATTTTATTGAACATTTTTTAATAGAACAATTCTATTAAAAATTAAATTAATGATATAGTTATATTCTAAGAATTTTGTGATCGGAATCTGTACCTCCCATGCCAAGACAACACATTTTAATATTTCCTAAATCTTGAACAACACAAATATCATGGAGATATTTGAAAACATAAGTACCGGTTGTATTTATTAAATCATTAGCTATTTTACAAATTTCAAGCCATGTTGGCGATTCTAGTATTTTAGAAGCATAAGGCTTTCCTTTTCCAGAAATATTGTGTCCATGATCGACAATTAAAATATTTCCTTCAATTGGAATTTTATTTAGATTATTTTTCATGATTTTAATATTTTTTTTATTATTAGTATTATAGTATTCATATTTACAGAACTTAACACAGATTTCATTATTTAATATTGATTTTTCTATTTCGTATTGCATTTCATTTTCTTGTAACTTATTAATTTTTTTTATAGTTTCCATTCTTTTATTATACATTTCAATTCCTTTAACTCACGTATTCAATTTCTTTTTAATACATTTTTTGCATTTCGATTTTTGTTTTTAATAGACCTATTCTATTAAAAAATATTTTGATTATTATTGCATTTCGATTTTAATTATTAATAATTAAGTTTTGCTTAAAATATTTTTATTAATTTTGCATTTCATAAGTTTTGCGAAAAAAATTTAATTATTATTGCATTTCAATTTTCTGATCATTTTTCACATTGTTTTCTTTGTGATCTTTTATTGATATAAAATGGAGCTGTCCCAGGAATGGTATTGGTATACTACTATTATATACATAAAGCTCTAGATGCCATGTTAAAACTTGTCCAAAAAAATTCAAGTTATGAAAAAAGTGATCAAATAAATATTATAGTGATGAATCCAAATTTAAAAAATACTATATCTACTGGAATGAAATCTGATAATTTTTTAACAAATATAAAATCAATTATTGGTAACATATTAAATAAATTCATTCAGTACCTAAATTTAAAAAAGATTTCTGTCAATTATGATAAAACTGTTTTTATTGCGTTTTCTATTTATAATTGTACCTACTCAATTTTCAAATCAGGAACTAATAATTTATAATGATAGTCATAAAACTCGCGGTTCAAATGACTTTAAAATTAAGAGGGTAACAAAGGTCAGATACTTAGGACTAATGCTAGACTGAAATTTTAGATGGAATATCCATGTACAAAATATTAATATACGCTTACGAACTGTCACTCTACTAATCTTTCTTACAATATGGTATAACTATATGGGGTGGTGCCTCTGAAAAAACACTAAAACCAATAATATCTTTACAGAATAGAGCTGTTCGTGTCTCTCTAAATAAAACAGATCGAGTTGGTTCTTCTAATGAAAATTACAAAGAACTGGGTGTACTTTAAAATACAATCTAAATGTCAATTATTCAAATAAATGTATTGGTCAGAAATTTGTAGACTATTTAGGGGCAACTTATTTCAACTACCTAGAAATTAATGTCAAAAGGTATTTTAGATTAAGTAATAATATTAATATAAATAAATATTTAACTAATGTTTTTATAAATAATTTGTAAATTCAAGTATCTTGTTTATAACTTCTTCTTTATTGTTTTTTATTATTTATTTTTGTCATATTTGTAAATACTATATTGTATCTGCTATATTTTAATCTCTAAGGAAATAACTCTGTAATAACTCGCTACCTTCAACTCAAGCTACGCTTAAAGAAGGTAGCTAAACCAAAATGTTTTAAAATGTTTATTTAGTATACTAATTGTACTAGTATTTGTATTATATTTAATACATGGTTTATACAAAAATAAAAAAAATATGTATATATAATATCAGTAAAGTATACCTATATATACCTATACTATACTTGTATTTGCAAATACAAGTATAATAGTATGTACATTTGCGTATGTTCACAGCCAGCTTTTCTACGGTACCTAACTAAAATGTTTCGAGGGTAAATCTCTCACCCACTCAGAGGACACCGATTTAACGTGTCACACGGAGATTACACTACACTCGTTTTATTCCACCTATATTATTGTACTTCACACAAAAATATTAACCGCGGTATATTTACCAAACCTTGCTATAAAAAAAAATGTTTTATTTCATAATTTGCGATCTTTACTATATAATTTGATAAAAGTACAGTTTTGACTATCATGACGGTCGGACGTGTTCGCGATTCTTCAATATCACTGTCTTATCTTACCCTTGTGCGTCTCGCTTGTTTTGTCGTTTTTGTTCGTCGTGCTATTTAGTATTTACTTGCTATCGCATCATTTCACGTTTATCTTTATTATCCGGCAAATCATTACTGTCTTATCTGTGCCCGCTGTACTAAAGACCTTTCTGAACGGTTATTTGTCTCTTATACACCGTGTTCCTAGTGGGTATATACACCGTGTCTCAAGTGATTTTCTTTCAAATTCACAATGAATGATAATTTTGACGTCTTAGCTGCTGAATTGTCCAAATTTACAAAGACAATGTTGGTAGACTTCATACTCAAGAAGTCGCTTCCAGCCACTTGTAAGATTAGTGGTGACCTCCATTCTGTCTTACTTGGTACTTCTGACAACGTTACACCCTCTGATGATGATGATTCAGTCAATGTAGCCCATATACTAAAATCCGTCGTAACTGAGCTTAAGGTGATTTCGTCCAGCAACTTAAAAATGCATGATATGATTAACCGTCTTTCAGCTGGTACACCTAGGGTGTCCTCAAGCCAAAACGGGCATCCAGCTCCTTCATTGGATACCAAACACATTTCCGTTGCTGAACCTGTTCGCCATTCTTCGACCAGGAAAATGCCAACTGCAGTTCCTAAGTATATTGTTGGATCTAAGGAAGCAGTTTCCTCTGATCTGACGGCTGTGCCTGTGGTGAAATTTGGGGACATCTTCGTATCCAGGTTTGATCCTCTGGTTACTGCCTCTCAACTCAAAAATGAACTCTTTGTTGGCGTGGATGTGTCAATTTCCCAAATGGTCACCCGACATCCATCATATTCATCCTTCCACGTCCGCATTCCTGCGGAGATGTTGGCGGATGTTCTGCAACCTACTTTTTGGCCAGAAGGAATTATGGTCAAACGATTCTGGGGACGTTTACTTCCTGAAAGAATTGTCAACTCTTCTACCTCAAAAAACTAGAATTTGTACGTATTGTCGATCCTTCTCTTAGGAATATTGTTAATAATGAATTATATAATTGTAATTTTGTTCCATGTAAATCTAATATTAAGCATCGTGTACGTTCTTTTAAAAAACCGCTACATTTTGGTTTATATCAAAACTGTCGTGGTCTCAGAACCAAACTTGCTACTATGAACCGTAATGTAGCCGATTTTGATTTTATTTTCATTAGTTTGTCAGAAACATGGCTCACTGATAGTATTTTTTCTAGTGAGTTAGGTCTGATTAATTATAATGTTTTTAGATGTGATAGGTCCAGTGTAACTAGTGTTCATAATAGGGGTGGTGGTGTCCTCATTGCTGTTCGAAATGATGTATCGTCACAATTCTTGAAGGTCACTGTCAGTGACTTTGAACAGCTATTTGTTAAGTTTTGTTATAATGCAACTACTTATATCTTATGCACTGTTTATTTCCCTCCTAAATCCTCAGTTGATTCCTTTAAGTTTTTTATATTAACCCTCGAATATTTCATAACGACCTACCCCGACTGTTCGTTTATTGTATCTGGTGATTTTAATCTTCCTGGTATTGTTTGGTCAAATGACGAAAATGGTGTAACATACTCGACATCAACCACTTGCCATGCTCGTTGTGTCCCTGAAAGCTTTGCCTACTTTAATTTTTTCCAGTTAAATGAGGTTAAAAATCACTATGGTTCCGTTTTAGACTTAGTTTTTAGCAGCTTGTGCAATTTGATTATTGCGAGGTCTGATGAGTATGTTGTACCTGAAAATCGATACCACCCAACCTTGATTTTTGATACTATGGCCCCTGTTCTAAGCGAATCTGAGTTAACTCATCCCTACTTTGATTTTAATAAACAGATTATGGAAAAATTGAACAATTTCTATTGTCGTACAATTGGTTAAATACAATTAACTCTTTAAATGTTAATGAAGTAACCAACGCTTCACTAACTACTTCTGTATTATTCACTTTGTGCCCCAGGTCGTGTCCAAGAAGTCCAGGTTTCCTCCGTGGTTCTCCAATGACATCAAAAGGCTTGCCACTCAAAAAAGAAAAGCCCACGCTGCTTACAGAGCCACGTTGTCCCCACTTGACTACTCCACCTTCTCTTACCTTCGAGCCCAGTATAAGTTCCTTTCCAAGAAATGCTATGATAACTACATTAAACAAGTTGAAACGTCTTTTTGTACCAATCTCAAATCCTTTTGGAATTTTGTGCGGAAAAGTAAAAAAGGTTCCAACTTGCCTACTACCGTCAATTTAAATGGAATTTCCAGTACAAATAGAAATACAATGTGCGAGCTTTTCTCTAAACATTTTAGTTCCGTTTTTTCCTCTCAAAGCTTAAACGTTGATTCTGTGGTCCATGTGGTTTACCTTTCGATCTTCCTTCTTCGTGTAATATTAGTCTTTCCGATATTGAGTCAAGCCTTGTCAACCTATGTCTTACTAAATCAGTAGGTCCAGATGGGCTCTCGGGTTTTTTTCTATACAACCTTAGGTCTGTTTTGTGCTTTCCAATTTTCCTAATTTTTAATAAGTCATTGACTGAAGGTGTATTTCCTGATATTTGGAAGCTTAGCTCGGTTACCCCGATCTTTAAGTCAGGCGACATTACGGACGTCATAAATTACAGGCTGTAACGAGACAGAATAAGTCGTACATCGGTACTACCTGCGTCATCCAGTGGACGCTACTAGTACTATCTAAATAGGTGCCGTTATCGAACAAACTATGAATTTTTCGATACTTGACGCATCAATACTTTGACAACCGATCGCTTAAAGTGTTGTAATAGGTATTATTTACCTATACTATACTGTTCTCAACACTACAACATTAATTACATTCCTAAAACAAGTAAAAAGGCGATTTAACACTAGTCGTACGTACGCCGCACAGAGCGCGCGACGATGCACGCGCTCTGAGACGGGACTACTTAATTCAACTTTCTGCATCGGGGAAGCTCAGATTCACATTACCGATACAAGAAATGAATAAAGGATGAAAAGCTACTTCGATTATCCTCAGCCGCCCATCACAATATCACACGCATCATATAAGAAAACAGTAAAACATGGTCGACGCAAACCGGCATATCAATCAACGCACAGCCAAGTCGAACCACAGATATACCGGTCAGATTCCGGGCTACGGTATCAGTCGAACCAGTCTCGACATTCGCTATAATAACGTCTCTCTCTTTTTCATACGATACCGATTTCGTCTGGTGTAACGTCGAGTGACTCCTCCCGTACCCCTCTCCCTACCTTGACAGTGTGGGTAGTAATACGTCTTCGTACGTATTGACAAGCTACTCACACCTAAAGCGCCGGAGAGGGTCTACCACAACACCCTCTGTGCCGGATTGGTAGTAATACGTTATCATACGTATTGACAAGCTACCGATTCTTATCAGCAGCGGTTCGTTGAAAGTGATAACGCGCCGAACGTCACTATCACTTGTGCGCCCGTCGTGTCGAATACCGCCGCTGTTCATAATTACCGCCGCCATCTTATTGCCGTCGCGCATCAGACGTCGCCACCGTAATTTCGGGTCAGAGCTCGCAGTAAACCTGCCGCCGCCGTTAATAATTACCGCCGCCGGTTCATTTTCCGTGCAACTTTCATTTTGTACCGCCGCCGTATATTACCGCTGCCGTCAGACACACTATTACTATAAATATTATTGTGTGCCGCAACCGATACAATCACGCCGCCACAGAGGGACGTATCTACCTAGAAGTACTGCGGACGAACCAACGGCCAACGCCCAGTAGTTAATACCTACTAAACACGCCCAGCATACACCACCAGTCGGATCAGTTATCCTGATCCAAAACCTTCAATCGACAATTCATCAAACCCACGGTATACACGTGAGTCATAATTATATAGTTATAACATTTGTAGCTCGACGAGCAAACATAAAATAAAAGGATACATTGTATTTAAAATCATTATACTCTACCTATTATCGCTGTGGCTTGAATAAGCATAAATATTAAACTCACAAAAGAAAATATTGTATGCGAATACCACAAAATATTATAAACTCATGTAATAATAAAAACACATCATATATTTCGTAAAAGCAAATACTTGTGTTTTTCATCGTTACAAGGCCAATTAGTATCATCAGTCACCTTGCCAAACTACTGGAGTCATTAGTTTGAAGTCCATACATAGACCCATTAATAAAATCATTATCGATGAACAACACGGCTTTCGCCCTGGACGTTCTGTTACAACTTGTAATTTAATTTTTACTGAGTACGTCTTTGAGCCTTTCAGTAAGCACTCACAGGTTGATTCCATTTACTTGGACTTCGCGAAGGCCTTTGACCGCGTGGACCATCGTGCTTTAATGAGCGTTCTGTATAATCTTGGGTTTGGTGAGCCTCTATTATCTTGGTTCAGTTCCTATTTGTCTGAAAGGAGACAGCTTGTCAGGATAAATGTCTTCTGTTCCAGCCCAACTAGTGTTACCTCTGGTGTACCCCAAGGTGGACATTTATCTACCGTTCTATTTGCACTCTTTGTTAATGGTATCAAAGATGTGATACAGCACAGCGAACTTCTGTTGTTTGCTGATGATATAAAACTCTTTCTCCGTATTTGTACCACTGATGATTGTAAACTCTTACAACATGATCTAGATTCTGTTGCTCATTGGGCCCAGGGACTTGGCTTAGAGCTTAGTATTCCTAAATGTCATACCATGAACTACACGCGTTCCAATGGGAGTGTCTTGTTTACCTACACTATAAATCACATTGCGCTAAAGCAACCAGGTGACAGTGTTATTGACCTTGGTATTACTTTTGATCGGTCGCTTACTTTTCGTACACATATTGAGAAAGTTACCTGTAAGGCCCTGAAACTTCTCGTGTTTGTGAAAAGAATTTCGGCTGAATTTAAACTGTCCAACTCTCTTAAGACGTTATATTGCTCTTTTGTTCGGTCTGTGTGCTATGCGGTATCCTTTGTCTTTCTTATTGATTGAAGATAGTTGTTGCGTACTGTGTTATATTCTGGTCTCTTTGTACGGTGGAGAGGCAAGCGCCTGTTTCTAGAAAGTTCAGCTCGAAGAGATGTCAGTTCTGACGTCCACCATGGCTGCTTCCCGGTGTAACCGCCCGGGCGCTTAAGTCGGGGTATGTACTTTCTTGCCGCTATCTGCAAGGCGTTTATGATAGTGCGTGCTTGTGTATCAACGGTAGACGCGTCTATGGTCAGTTTAGAAACACAAAGGCTTCGTGAAAAAGTCTCCCAGTCTGCTTTCCGGGTGTTGAACCGGTAGGCTTCTGGACCGCGTGGAGCTCTGTCCCTGAGATTGAGTTTGAACGACACAACGTTATGATCACTGTCTGTCACATCACAGACCTTCCACTCGCTGGCTAGATTGCGAGTTTGGGGTGCGAGTAGCGTGACGTCGATGTTTGACGTACCCATACCTTCACGATCGTACGTGGGAATGTGTCCTGGCATGTTCGCCACTTTTAGATCAAATTCCTCTACCAGCACTTCAACCATGAGGCCTCTGCTGTTGCTATTGGGACAGTGTCATAACCGGGAGTGACCATTCACATCTGCACCGATTACTGTGCGCGGTTCCCGGTCTAGGATTGGTCTGAGTTTCTCTATGAAGCTGTGGGTCGGCATGTTGTATTTAAAATATGCCGACACCACTGTAATGTCATCTGCCTGGCCTCCTCTGCAGATTTTTATTGCAACTACGTACTGTGATGAGAGGTCTGTTAATTCGATGACCCGTAGCTCCGGGTTCAAAATTACGATTATCGCACCGGGGTTTGCCCCGCCGGCAGCTTGTCTGCATTCTTCAAAGGCGTACTCCATACCGTTGCTCTCTACTGGTTCCTGGATGAGTACCAGGTCCGCCTTTGTCTCATTGCAGTGATGCCTGAGCTGGAGGCTAGCTATTTTCTGTTTGTTGACGTTGTGCTGCACTATTTTGATGATTCCGGTCATTGAGTACCAAAATCCGTGCGGCTTAAGAGGGTTCTAAGCGCCTGCTTCTTGGCCTTGCACGCCGAGCTTGAGGCCTGATGTGCAAGCTTGCAGTTAGCACATTTTTTGTTCGCCTTGTCGCTACATTCGCGACTGTCGTGCGGACCAGCACAGTGCTTACAGGTGGACGCTGCCTGATTGCACCTTGTAGCGGTGTGTCCGTACTTCTGGCATTTATAGCATTGTACGGTATTTTGGTATAACTTAACCCTGCACCTGGTCATTCCAAGGAATACCGACCTATTTTCAAGTTTCTTGAGGACGCACGGTGGTGTCTCAAGTACCCAGTGGGAGGTATCTTTCCCTCTCGGGCCCATCTTATGGCTGACAATCAAGCACTCGACGTCGTCCTGCGACAGCTCCAGCTCTGGATTTTGCTCCATTATGCCGTGGGCTATTTTGTCACCAGTAATGTCGTCATCGACATCATAGATTATTATTCTGGGCTGCCTGGGCCCGACAGACCTGATGTTCGGAACCCAGTTTAACACCTCGAACGTGGTTTTGTCATCCGGGACGACGATGATCGACTTACCCTGGACTCTCGGGTTGGGCAGTTTCTTCTGCACCGTTTTCCAAAGATCGGTCTTAACTTGGGCTACCGTCATGTTTTCCGGCATGTCGACCACAAAGCGAGACTTCACCGCCGTCTGGCGGCACTTGTCGAGTAACTTTTTCTTAGAAGCTTTGGTCTTGGGCTTTACTCTATCGGTACCCTTAGTCGTTGTTAGCGGGGAAACGGTTCTCGGGGCATCTTCTGCGTTGAAAACGCTTTTAATTGCGCTTGATGTCGCATCAGCATAGGTTAATTTTTTAGCTCATAATAGCCCATAATTGTTGGCTAACTCTTCTAGACTTTCTTTAAGCACGAGGTTTTCAAGGCGGAGTTCCTCTATCTCCTTACTTTTCTCGTTATGTGCCTTAGAGAACGTATCCAGCAAACCTTTAAGCTCAGCGGCGCTAAACTGCGTAACACCTTGAAGGCGGCGGTTCTCCATGCAGAGTTTCGTATGGATGTCTCTGATGCTTTTAAGCCTGGCGCTTATGCCGTCCGCGGCCCCGGCAGTTAGTTTTTTGGTCCTCTCATTTATGACCGTTTGTCCGATATACCCGATGTGGTTGTTTAGTGACTTTAACAAAGCCACGTTATCGACACTGGCCGATTTCACCCTTCCTGAGCTGCTACTGGTTTGGCCTTGATCGATTGCCATCGCACCACTCGTACTAGCATTTGTGCCGTCGTCAGGTTCGGAGTCTCCTTCTCCTCTGAGTCTTAGTATGTCCGTTCCTTTATAATCCAACTGTTCCGTTTTCGTTTTCGTTTTCGCATTGCCAGAGCTACTGATCACGACTTGTGTGGCGAGCTCACCCACACCTGCCGGGCCTGAGGTTTCCTGGGCCTCTGTGCCGGTATCATCAGTTTGTTTTTGTTGTGTGTTCATGTTGTTAGTTTAGAGGGGGCTGCCCTCTGGTAGCCCTACACCCTCTGGCCGCCGGCGGGCTAGATCGGCGGTTGCATATTCTTGCCAGGGGTTAGAAGCCCGGAGTCGGCCTACTCCGGACAGTTTTTGAAAGCCTCTTAGCGCCGGACATATAGTCCGGTCGGGCGGGGTCACCACGACAAGGTGGACTTTCATCGACCTTTCATAGCCGCTGTAACTATTTAGTAAATCGTCCTATTGTTCGTATGATGAAACTAGCGAATGAGGACCCACTATTCCTGAATGCTTAGCAATAAATTATTATCTGTTGTTCTATTTTTTTTTTTTATTATTTTAATTGTATTTTGTAATTTATGCAACGTTCTCTTAGTTATTATGTTATTATGTCTATTTGCTCTATATCCTAATTGTATATTTGTATTTTTGTAATTTATGTAACTTTCCTTACTTTATGTACATTCTATGTAATTGGGCACGTCCCGTATTTCAATTAATAAATAAATAAATAATTTGCGTTCTTATATTAAGTACTTGAAATTATTATTTCAGTTTTAAACTAAGGTTTGGCGAAATAAATATTTGGTGTGTATACGTATATATTATGTATACGTATGTTTACCTACTGCGCAGTAAATATTTTTGTGTGATGTACGAATAGGACAATAGGTGGACAACGAGTGTATAATCTCCGTAATGTGTAACACGGTAAATCGTAGTCCTCTAAGCGGAACATTCCTGCTTGAAAATGTTTAGTTACCTACCATGCAAAATAACCTCTAGTTATCAAAAAAAAACGGTTATAAGACTCAAATATTTCGTAAAATAAATAGTAGAAAATAAACTTTTTTGGTTATAATTTAGAAATAAATTTGTATTGAAGAATTAAATAAAATTCGTATTGATTATTTCTAGTTTCTATTGGTACACACTTAGAAATCTGAAGTAGATTCAACACCAAGTGTTGCCAATGTTATACACATTCGCACTCATTTTCCAGCTTAGGTCCAATTGGTGTTAATGCAACACCAGTTTGATGTTAGTTGGGTTATTATGCATCAACACTCTATTAATGTTTTACTAACCAACACACGGGGTTAAATTAACAACAAATTATGTTAAAATAAGATATTATATTGATAGTTACGGTATGTTAGGAATTAGTAGTAAATATAACACCAATAAATGTTATATTAACTATTGAATAGGCTGTGCATTCTACACCAATTCATGTTATATTAACTTATAAATATGTTGTATATTATACACCGATGAATGTTATATTAACTATTGAATAGGCTGTGTATTCTACACCAATTCATGTTATATTAACTTATAAATATGTTGTATATTTTACACCAATGAATGTTATATTAACTATTGAATAGGCTGTGTATTCTACACCAATTCATGTTATATTAACTTATAAATAAGTTTTATAAGTTGTATATTTAACACCAATGAATTTTATATTAATTTATAAATAGGTTGTCCATTTAACCTCAAATAATTCTTGTATATACTTCAAATAAATTAGTCAAATTATTATTTAAATTTAATATTTGTGTAATAAAGCATTTAGATAAATGTGGTTAATGTGTTTAGGGTAGGTACTTAAAATAATTTGACTCACCCACCAAATGATTCTAGTAGAAGTTATGGTGTTAGTCCTTGACCTAGGTACTTTCTTAACTAATAATTTAACTAATTAAACTAATTAAATTAACTAATAAAAAATGAATCAAAATCTGAAGTACTGTTACTCTTTATATTAGTATTCATATTGTTTATATATTAAATAATTAACTATTTATTTAATACTGAACTTAAGTATAGTGGCATTACAAAAAAATAAATATTTTGGTTAAGAAGATTAAAATATTATATGACAACATGTACAATGAAATTTCACAGTCAAAATTGAAATCTGCAACCTTATATTATACATTAAAATATTAAGTTTTATTATTTATTATATAGGCCAGAAGATACCCATTCCTTCATATTTACATACAAAATTGTTAACAAATGTAATTAGGCAAAGTAAAAAATACAAATATTTGGTTTTCTTGTAAATATAATATTTTAATTGAAAGTAAAATATACAATGCATGATACATTTTCAATGGTACAAAAAAAAAAAACTTATAATGATTATACTAATACTAGTATAGCTACAAGGTAAATATTTGTACTACAAATATAATATTATAAAAATACCTTAATGTTTTATACAATTAACTGTAAAAGTATGAAGTGTCTATAAGTACCTAATTTATAATAAAATATAAATTATAGTGCATATCGTAATGCATACAATTTACCATCACCAAGAACTCTAATAACAGTAGGTGACGATTCAGGCAAATCATTTATATAATACCCAATAAGATTTGTTTCAGTCTCATCATATTTTTTTAGTTCATAAGCATGAAAATGATCATCAAATCCAATAGTAAAAAAAAGTTCACACACTAAATATGGAACAGTAGAACCATTAATAAAAATATTAATTATTTGAGCAAAAATACATCCATTTAAATTGATTTCTACTATCACCAGCATACCCGGTTTATAAGTAATACTTTTAATTTTCTCCAAGATGCTGAATAAGCCTTTGGTCTTATATCTGAAGGAAATATAAATTTTTTAACTCTACTATACTATTAATTTTTAAATATGACCCAACTTTTAAGTCTGGTTCTAATCCTTTTTTAGTTAAAAATCGATGAACCATTTGCATCTGAAGTTTATGTGATAACGTATGGATAAAATGTATACGATTTGGTACGGCATTTGCATATGCTTTTAAAAAATTGTGTTTTGATTCAAATCTTAAAGAAGATGTCAAAGAAATTGGGCCATTTTTAAGAAGGAGACGACCATAATGTGTAAGGATATACAATTTGGGTTTTAATGTACTATTAGAAAAATGTAAATATAATCTGTTATGTTCTGAAACTAAAGCATCTAGTAGATGTGCACATTCTGGCTGAAGTACTCTAGCACAACACAGATCAATAATTTTCCGAAGGTGTATATATAACTTCCAAATTTCGGTTTTTAATGGAACTAGTTCTCCTACAATGAGACCAAAATACCTAACAAAACACAACATTTCAGATGCCGACATAATAAGAGAACCATTTTTTAAATGATTGAGACTAATAGGAGGTGGAGAATTTTTTTTGTCAATTACACCACACTCAAACAATCTTGCCCGATGGTTTAGATCTTCAAGTGAAAAATATTTATTGCTTATTAAATAACTAATAATAATGGCCATATCATATCTTGCTACACCTTCTGAAACATCATACATAAAGTTACATACTTTATTGACTGTTACATGATAGTTTGAAATGGAATTAAATACAGTGTCCTCAACTATACCAGTTTCTGAAAAATTGGCTTTAAGAATATCCAACTTATAATTATCTTTATCTCTAATTGATTCTTTTGACTCTGTAAGAATGAAAGTTTGTTTTTATGTAACCGGCATATACGGCAATAATGGTTAGCAGAAAAACTTTCTACAAATCCTAACATTGAATTAAGACCCAAGTTATCCACCGAAATTAAACCAAGAGCAAAATAAATTGTTATATTTATAGAATTAACAACTATTGAAATACCATTTTCTTTTAAGTCAATAAGATCTCTTATAAGAGAAGAAAACATTTTCTTATTATCAAATTTGTTCTTTCCTCTATCGGAAGAATGAAAGATAAATGCTGGAAAAATATTTTCTAAACATGATAAGTATTCGGGTGGAAGTGCAGGCACAGTATAATAAATACATCCCATTTTATAAACACCCGAATGGACCCTAAAGGATTACCCATTTCAGCATCATCATAGTAGATAAAAATAGGGAAAACAATCTTATCTTGGAAATTGTTCTTTATATTTATCCATGTACTGCCATTTAAAAATTATGTGAAATTTGAATTTTTGAAGATGAAACAGTAAATTGATTAGCAACATCAAACACACCAGGCAATTCAAAAAATGTTTAAGATTTTCTTTCATACAAAACAAATAGGCTTGGACCTGAAAAATAACCTGTCTCTCAATTCCAGAGATTATTTTTTTCTCACTAACAGAACCTACAACAACTTTTTTTGGCTTAAAAAATAAATTATTTGTTTATAAAAATTGTAAGCGATGGAACTCAGTATTTAATTTGGAAAACGGATTTTCTAATACATTAAACATTTTTTGAATTTTATCTAACTGATGATTATCACATTTGTCTAAATTTGGCATTACTTCAGCTTTTAAAATAGATATAATACTAGATGAAAACAATTTGATGGCACCAACAACTATTTCCTGCATTAAGAGGACGTGATACCCAAAGTGTTACGTATGCAACGGCCGAGAGAACGCGCTATTAGGTGTTTTCGGGATCCGCAAGCGCGCGACGTCTAAGCCCCGCCTACTACTCGCAGTCGGCGGCACTACTGGCACTGCTCATTCAGCGCGTCTCTTTAATTATAAATTAGTAATTACCACACATTTTTTTCAGCTGCTTACCAGTATTTATTTTGTTTAAAAACACTAAATAAAAGTATAATATTTTTGTAGAACACAATAAACATAGCATTGTCATAACTTATAAATTATATAATGTAAAATAGTTTTCATAATAATAGTTTTCATAATCACTGTTGTGATTTCAGAACAAACAGTCAACCCAAAATGTTGCCACACTTTACTTATTTTACCCATATTTAATGGATAATAAAATATAATATAGTATAAAACAAATTGCATACAATAAATAAATGTGCATGCAAGGTGCAAGTTGCAAACATTGATTAAATATAAAATTTGTATTTGCTATTTAATCATTATTACAAAGGACAAACCCGTGATTCTCAATTTAGTAAAAATGTTGCTTTAAGATATAGCAGTATACACTGGCAATTCCAATTTTAATAACTATATAGGTATATAATGCCATAACAAACAAATTTATATTGATCTGTAATTCAACTAATACAAAAAATAAAGTTTTCATACTATACAAATCTATAGTATACTGCTCTTATATTATGCAATAACATTTGGAACCTAATTGTATTATATTATTATTGTAAAATATTTAAATTTATGCGGGAAATGTGTTTAATTGTTATATTATCGTAAATCACGGACTAAGATATACAGGACTGGACACGAGATGAATATTGTGGTTACGAAATGTTTTACAACAGGCGGAGTTCGGGGGGATATTTTCCTTTTAGCATTACTAGCGCCGTCTTAGTGGATACTTTTGGAACTAGATGACAATAATGTGATCTAGTTCCATAAGTATCCACTAAGACGGCGCTAGTAATGCTAAAAGGAAAATATCCCCCCGAACACTGCCTGTTGTAAAACATTTCGTAGTCAACCCCCCCACACCCTCCAACCTTGTCGTGTCCAGTCCTGTATATCTTAGTCCGTGTCGTAAATCGTAATATCATATTATCACTTATCAGGGTCTAGTGGCACTTATCAGTTATGGCAATTAATATCAGATATTCTATCAGTATTAATATTACGTCCAATCAGCAGCTTGGGACAGGACGTGAAAATACGTCACTAAAACCACCTAAAAGTTAAAACCACGGTCTTAGATTATTAAAACCATGAATTTATCAATAATATTATAGACCAATGCAAACAGGGGACTAAAGAAAAAAAAAATATTCATATGTGAAACTGCGATATATCGGTTATATCGCGATATTTTATCGATAAGTGAATATTTATCGAAGTCCTCGAGCGATATAAAAATATCGATATATCGGATGAAGTTATCGATATATCGAATATATCGATATATCGTTGCCATCCCTAGTCTCGGGAGCGCCGATTATTATTTCATGAACGTTCGACTGTGATGTATCCCGTCAATATAAAATTCACACAGTAAACGTCGCGGTATTATTTGTAATATCCGCGCGTACCCATTCGAACTATCTTTTTTGAAAAGTTACTGCTTACCTAAATATATGCACCAATATATAGACTGTAAAAACAGCAACACAACATAGCTTAGTTTGTAGTTATTGCACTAGTACTCATTCAAATATAATACATACAGTAAAATATAATTTAACAGTACCTAAACAAATACATCTTTTACGTTCAACTGTTCAATATTAAATTATTTTTAACTTCAGCATAATTTGCATTTTCCCATTTCTTAGCATCTTTCCGTTTATTAACAACTAAACTTAAAAAAAAAAAATTATACAAATAGTAGTTTACAAATTAGTAATACATGTATAAAAAAAAATGTATATTATGTACAACTTGTAGTTATTATGAAGACTAAATTTTGTTTGTTTTTTTTTTTTCATAATTTTAATATTTTTAATTATGTGAGGAGGTTCAATAATGTCGCTTTTTAATTGACGTTTGCTGTACTGAGGGTCTACTATTTTTTTTAAAAGTTACTGCTTACCTAAATATATGTATCAATATATAGATTGTAAAGACGGCAATACAACAAAGCTTGATTTATATTTCCAAATTTTTAAGGGCAACGAAGTGCACGGGATCAGCTAGACAGTATATTTATATATACCAATTTTGGTAATCCAATAGATATAGATTTTTGTATGATTCGATTACTGGATAATTTACTTATTATTATATTACAATAATAATTATATTAAAATAAAAACAATTAGAAGGTATAATACTATGATACGTATAATATGCATGTTACAATTTATTAACATTTTACAATAATAATATTACTGAGATACGTCTAGTATGATTTTGTTTTTATTTTTGGTGTTTTCCGATATATGTGTAGGTTCGAAAATGTCAGATTTTAATAGTCTTTTTCCATACCGTGGTTCAACCAATTCTGGCAGAAGACATTCTTTATAAAATCTGTGAAATAGGTATATTATTACAATTTATTCATTTTAATTTATAACTATTACAATTTACACATTTTCAATCTTATGTAATAGCTAATAGGTATTTCAATGCAACAAACTATATAGGTTAAATTGTATTATTTAAATTTTTGTAAACATACGTCTCTAACTGAATATCCATTTTAGAATACCAAAATCTTTCGTCGTAATCGATTACGTCATATTCAATCCATTTTTCGGAGTATACAACAAAATAACATACATTCCTTTTTGTTATTTTTAATTGTCCCTGTACTTGATAATAGTATGAACTAGTTTTTTTTAATTTCATTTTCCCGTCTACAATAGTTACATAAGGTATCTGTAAATTATCAAAACAATCATATTACCTACTAAAATATTTATTAAATTAATTAATATTCTGTATTTCTGTATACCTTTTTATTGTCGACCGCTGTTTGTAATTCATTCGTATCTTTGATCGAAAAAGGACATTTAATTTCCAAAACAGCTGTATTGCCAATTAAACCATCTGAGTATATAAAATATATATTTAAATATTAGTTGTATATTATATCACATTATCACCCCCAAACAACTAGTTAGTTATCGTAAAACTTTGATTTCTTAATACATCGTACTTACCAGGGCTAGCGGCTAAGTATGGTTTATCTGCGTCAATAAACAAACCACAATCCATGACTTTAAGATTTGTTAATTTTTCAAATTTTTCTTTTGCGATGACTTCAGTAATTTTTCCATATTCCATCGCTCGGGTTGTAAAATTACCATATAATATGTCATATACGGTTCTTTTACAGGATGTAGTTGGACGCATCTTACAAACTTTACCAAAGTTTGACGCAGTTAGTCTGTTTCTCCGTTCAATAAACCACTTTTGGTTGTCAGATTGATTTCGCGTTTCCAACTCGATTTGTTCTCTGACCGTTATGGGTAAGGTAATTGTTTGAATGAATTAAATTTTTTTATTTTTCAACTCGTCAGTAGGTAATAAATTATCTAAAGGTTGAGCTAGTCCATAATTTTCATCTGGACCATTGGACATATTTTTTTTTTTGTACATTCCAGATGCTCGAAATAGAGCTCGGCGTGTTTTTAAATTTTTTCTTTTATCTGCAGTATACTTTAAATATTTTTTAGCAACGATTCCTACAATAAAATTAAAAATATTTATTTATTTATTTTTATTATAATTTACAATATGAATTAATTTGAAAATATAATAGAGTACCTGGACTTTTGTTAGTGATATTTTTGTGGATTTCTCTTATCAAATTACCATTTGAGTTAAAAGCTACCACAGCTGCATAAACTCGAGTAGTATATGATTGCTTTTGAGAAAAATTAATTCTCTTTCCCGCGATGTGTTTGTTGATTAGGCTGTTGAATTGCTCGCAGATATTATTATCCACGTCAAGTAACAAGCTTTTAGAATTATTAACTACACGACGAAGAGCAGTGGACATTTCAGTCATTAACCCGCATTTTATGACTTCTGATACAATATTTTGCTCTCCAATTTTTTTTCCCGTGCAAAAATATTTGTCACACTTGGAGTGTTGACCAAAAATGTGATATTGGCTATTTAAAATATCATTACGTAATCCTAAAAAAAATGTATTTAAGTTTAATTTTAAATTTAAAATTTGTAAAAAATTTGGAAACTAATAATCTCGCTAATAATGTTTACCTTCAATTTTGTTATAATGTGATTCATCAATTCGATTTCTATACTTTATTGCTTTTGTTATAGCTGTCCGAAATCTTAGTACATTCTTTGATATAAATTTTCGTATAAAACCCGGGTACTCAGTTTTCCTTGTTAAATGCATTATTTTTTGTCCATAATTACGAAGTATGTGATTTCTACATTCAATTTTCTCAATTAAAAATGTAGGTCCATACGGCATAACTTCATTTAATCTTTTACAAACACTACTATCTCCGTCTCCTGAAGAAAAAACAAATAAACATCATGATATAATAATATGTGATTTTATGATTCATTATAGCAGTATATTGTATAAATATGTTGGTACATTTTATTTACCAATTAACTGTTTAAATTTTAAACCGTGCATTTTAACGCTGCATAAAAATCCTTCTGCTATAGCATCGGCTTCTATGCTGGTAGCACCATTCTTCCAATTTAAAAAGCACTTGAGGGTCATGGGAGATTTACCGATGGTTTTCGCTCTTTCGCAAATCACACAGTACCGATTTCTTATTCCAATAAATAATATTTTTTTCGTCCGAAATCCAATTATAGTGGCCTGTAGATAAGTACCAAATTATATGACTAATGTCCAATGTTGGAAATAGATAACTAAAAATGTATCTAAATTCTAAATAAAGATAAAAATCAATGTACTAAATTTTATATAGATAAATATAAAAAGGTGGGCAAGTGGATGTCGCTCTGCTGTAAATTGAAAAAAAATTATGCCTAATATGTATTTTTAATATTTTTCATCTGCCTTTGAAACAATATATTAGCAGCTTTCTATTCAATTCTCATGCTTTTTTACCCAATAAATAAAATTTTATGGACATTTATAGAAAAAAAAATTAAAAAAGTTTTAATCTGAATATGTCCGTAAACAGTTCAAAACAAATCAAAATATTTTGAAAATTATATCGTGTATAGTAAATGCTAATATAAACAACCAGTGAAAATGTCGTGTATCTACGGTATTTTTTTTTAGAGTTACACCAAAAACTGACATCGAATTTTCTCGAAAATCTATTTTGCGTAAAAATTCCCGTTTTTCCTTAATTTTTCCCTGAGCTTTTGAAAACTATTGGGAATTTTAAATTTTGACCTCTCAAAAGTACCAACTAGATTCACTTTCCCGTCGAACAAGATACTAAAGCTGAAAATCAAATCATTATTTCGACTACTTTGTACCGTATACAATGGTTTATCACTCGATTCAAATAATTTAGCACATCCATCACAGTGACGAGGTGTACTCGTCGTCTACTATATACAGCAGAGCTTTTTAAAAATGTATTTAAATTTTTTTTATTTATTATAACACAGTTAAATATTACCGCTCCTGAAAATGCGTCGTATTTCGTCTTGTAGCTGCGCTTACTCCATTGGCCATCAGCAACAACAGGGCACATAGGTATACCATCACTATCTATATCACCTGCCTCAAAAGCCAACTTTTTTTCTTCTATACCAGCGAGTTCCATAACACTCCATGCTGTAGTTTCCATATGCATACTTATTTCCTCACTATATTTTATATATGTCGAGGGGGCCATACATGGAACATCTAAACTTGCCGAAAATTCAGCTAGTTGTGTGTATCCTATACCAATTGCATACGTGCCATTAACAATTGCTTTGTTAATCGGTATATAGTTTAGATCGTTGTTTTCCGATTCCAGTGTAGTCAATAGGTTACACATTTTACATTTAAAAATCCATTTTGTAGCAAAACCTTTTGTAATTTCGTTTATTAGTTCAACATTCATAAACGAACATCCTAGCCCTGGAGTATGACATTGCTCATTTTGTATTTGAAAAAATACGTGTTTCATATCAACAATCCTCCTACCACCGCAAAAACTGGTAAAATAAATTGAATTAACTATTTTGTAAGTAATAACTTACATAATTCATCATCATATATTAATTAAAATAAACATACTATGAAGTTATGGTATCTTCGGAACTAGGGTGACTGTATTCTGTACATAAGCTATGCTCCATAACAGTCGAAATATCATTATTATATTTTAAATTCGGTGAACTGATACAATCTTTTGGTAAATTACAATTTGGAGTACTTGAAACTAGGTTATTGTTCACATTATCTGATGTAGACAGATTATTTAATGAACCAATTTCTCTAAATAAATAAAAAGTTTAAATACCAAAAAAAAAAAAATAAAAAAATATTTAGCTACACTAAATCTAATCGAAATTCAAAGAAAAATTATCAAAAATATTTTGCAGGTATAAAAATTAAAATAAATTATAATGAGTGTATGAGCGTATTAGGTACCAAAAATTAACAAACCTGTTAGGAACCAACTGCAACGTAGTCAAAATATCAGTTTCATTTGACGTCTCACCAAATGGTAATGGATTAGAAGTAAAACTTCAAAATAAAATATAAAACATAATATTTTATAACAATAGAATAAAGTTTAGGTATAAATTCTGTTTATCTACCACGCCAATTTTGAAAATTTTTATTTTTTTAACATGTAGGCGTGAACGGCGTGAACTATTTTATTTTATGAGGCAAGTATAAATGCTGGACCACCACCACCTAAATTTTATCACACAGACCCGTGGGGGCTTTGCCCCCACACCCCTAATTCACAATTCTACAACGATAATATACTTTGTTGTGTTAATATCAGAAATATAAAAAAATTATTATAAAATTAGTATAATTAATAGTATTAGACATTAGTTGACCTCTATACACTAGTTGTTCTCTATACATTTTATTATAGGTATTTTAACTCTAAAACCACTTTTTAGTGAAGTTATGACTGTTTTTCGTGGACATGTTTATACCGTTGAAAATAAGCGGTATAACGTCCTCTTAATTACTTCGTATTATATCGTTATATATATATATATATATAATATGTATATATGTATATATATAATTATATTGTTAGATATAAAAGTCCAATACTTTGTATAACAATATAATATAGCACTGATAAAAATAATACAAAATACAAAATATTTGTACAAAAGTACATTTTTATAAAAAAAAACCGAAACGTGCAATTTTGTGCAAAAACCCAAAAACGTGCAATTTTGTGCAACATAAAACTTTCTTTAAATTAATCTACATCTCTTGATTTGGATTTGTAGCTTGTTTCTATTGAATTTAGAACACGCCATAAAAAGATGCAATTGCACAGGAATCCGGTCTTTAATGATAGTATTTCAAAGGTATTATTTTTACAGACCCCTGGACCCCCCTTAATCCGCCCGAAACTGGAATCGTTATTAGAATCGTAGAGTAGAATAGAAATATTTTAATTTATTTATTGAACGGGTAGAGCCCTAAATATAATTATTTTATTTTATTTTTCTATAAACGTTCAAGCAGACAATGAAAGTATTTACATTTCTAACATTTCTAATATATAATATAATTTATATTTGTATATACTTACTTAATTTTTTTGTTTCGTCGTAGTGAAAGGGAACTAGTGAATTTTTTTTTAGATGACCGTTTCCGTTTCTGCTTATTTTCTTTATTTGCCATTGTCAAAAAAAAAATGGAAAATAATAATACAAAATTCACAAAAAAAAAAATTGAACACGACGACACAGAAATCCCGAAGAAATGATGTGATCACAACGAATTACCCAGGAGGAATGGTTGTGACGGTTGTGTATATGCATCAAAATTGAATATTTATTTTTGTACCAATTATTGAAAATACAGCTATTCATAGTCTCATATTGTGACTTCCGCTAACATAATTCGTAATGAGTATAGGATTAGGGACTTCTAGGAATTTGCATGTTTTTCAATAATCATTCAAAACATAGCTTAGTAACATAGGAATTTGTTTCATAACAATAGTACAATACGAGTTTATAATCAAAATGTATGTTTGCATATTTTACATATTTGACCATTTTTAATTTAAAAGTGCATATTTACTTTGACATTTTATTTTTTTATTTTTGTTTAATTGTCATAATAGGCATACTTGTGTAAAAATAAAATAATAAATACTAATACCAATAGTATTTTTTACCAGCAACTTACCATAATGTATAGAATGTATTCCGTATGAAAAGACGGATATTTATTAGGTGGTGTAGGTACTTGAGTTATTATAAATTATGCATAGGACTTTGAGCCCTTTGAGGTAGATACCAGGTATACCTACTATCTGAAAATATTAGTATGTCCGTAATAATAATAATTTATAATTTATATTAATTTATAATATTATAAAATAGTAAAACGAATAAGAGTTTGTAGATCGTAGGTGGAATGCTATCAATCGTCAAGACCAATTTTAATATTATAATAAAAATAAAAACAATTATTAGCTTATAAAATATTGTCATTTTATAGTATTAGATTAGATAGATAATAATGATATTGTTTATATTAGTTCGGTCTATTCCTGGAAGCTTCCGATAACCATCGACCGACCGTCACCGCGCGATAGTCGAAGCGGATATTCAGTTTTTGGAGTAGTGGGGGGAAATCGCGACCGACCTCTTAACGGCATGCAGGTAGCAGCACATTACAGCAATGAAAATATTAAATTAATCTACGTAAACATGTTTACGGAAAACAAACAAAACAGCATTAAAAAGCGATTTTAGAGCGAAAATACCTATTATGAGATTTAGAGAAAACAATATTTCGGAGACAACCTCATCGGGGTTTTGTATTATTTTAAATATATAGCTCCTTATAATAGGAAAAAAAACCTTTTTTTTTTACATTTTTTAAACAACTGTAACTTTTGTAATAATTTATATTTAAAAAAACGCCAATGAGGTTGTCTCCTAAAAATTCTTCTCTATACATTTCATAATAGGTAATTTTACTCTAAAACCATTTTTTGGCAGCGTTTTGTTTGTTTCTGGTAGACCTGTTTTTACCGCTAAATATTACGGGTGTAACGTCCTCTTAATGATTCGGTTACATTAGGTTTAGTAAACAAATTTGTTATAAATTGTAATGCACAATCTCTTACAACTTTTTCAAAAGGCCTACTACTATCACCTATTTCAGCATTATCAAAATTTCTATTAATATCAATTTCATTTGAATTTACAATTTCTTCTGATATAGAGACAACTTTATCAGAATCATGTATAGGTGGGACAATTACCAATTCATTAATTGTAAATTCAGGTGTTGTATTAGAATGGACTCTATTTAAATGCTGCCTAAAATGTTCTGAACCTTGAAAGTCCCTAATACAGTCTTGCTGTTTACTCTTATATGTAGATTGAGCTCCCAAATGGTGATAAATTTTTAAATGCAACATTAGTTGGTTTATAGAAGAAAATAATGAAGAACATATAAAACAAATGTACATCTTAATTCTTAATATATTTAAAAATAAAAGTAATAGTTATGTATTTAAAATTTACTAAAACGATTGAAGCTTTGCCGTTAATGTTGTTGTTATAGAAGATGATCTATCATATTCAGTAGTTAACTTAAATAAATGATGTTGTATTATCAACCAAGAGTCATAGTACTCCTTTGGATATGTACAGTGGAAAGCAAAATACGATTTGAAACAAACCACCAGTGCCTTTAAGGGACACTCAAATCGCCAATACTTTTGGTTTACAAGCACGTAGCATGAATCAATGGAATCAGTATCCACACCAACAAATGTGATAAATGGTTGTATAGAAGAGCCATATGTTGCATATTTTTCCTGTATTATTGTTAAATTTTCTTAAAATTCGATATTGTTCTATAAATAACAAAAAATTAACTCATGTGTTACTTGCCATTAAATACACTAAGGAAAAAAAACAATTGTAATTACTTATAATATTTACAGTTTAAAACATTATTTGAAAATTGTTATGATTATAAAATATCTTGTAGTGTTATTTAAAAGCCAAAAATAAAATTTAATTTAATCCATTATATGCTTATTTATAAACCACATCTTGACTTAACATAAATTATATAAATAAATAAAAAAATTAATTTAACTTCAATTTGTGTTATGTGAAATTTCAATAATTATTTTTTTTAACCATAAGTATAATAGATAATATAGTTTTTTTTTTTTTTTACTTACTGTAAAGTGAGTAGCAAAGGCTGATACTGATTCTAACAAAGATGGCTTCCAGTATTTAGATTTACCAGTTTAGTTGGAAATTTTGATCTGTGTCTTAGTTGGTATAAGGTATGGATCAATAATATTTTAACTATATACGAAGTTCTTAAATCTAAAAAATAGTATTAGTAAACATTTTTAACTCTTAATTTTATGTTATAGTAGGTATGTAAAATATTGTGCATAGCTAAACAAAAAAAATAACCTTTTTTTTGGTAAGATACATCTAATTTGGCCAGTAAAACTTGGCCAAATTTATCTTTAACAGAACTTCTACGTATATCAACTATTCGAGTAGACAATATTTCCCATGCATTGAGAAAATCATTCCAGTCGTTATACAATACATCAGTTGTATGTGGGAATGCACTTTAAAATCTTCAAGAATCTATTAAAATAGTCAATTTTATAATTTAAATAACATAGAAGTTAAATATAAACATACCAGTTCATATCCTTTAGGATCTTGTAGGATTGGCCAGGATTGAAAAATGGTTGAAAGAAGGCGATCTTCGGATTCAAACACCTCTTTTTTCCTTAAATCATACGTTATCAACCATTTTGCTTTGACTAGATTTATATCACAAGCAAGCCCATCAGCTTGTAAACACTTTTTAGCATCTAGTACCTCATCTATAATAATAAATCAAAACAACAATAATAATCAATAACTAGTTATAAAACAACGTATACCTTTAGGTACAATTTACCTATATTTTTATGTTATATAAATTAATTTAAGCGTAAAACCTATCTACTACACCACTTCTAGACTGTTCACGCCCGCCAAATATACGAGTATGAGCGTCGAGCGTCAAAATTCAAACATGTTTGATTGGTGACGCGCCGCGCCGCTGACGCTTGAAGACGACGCTCGACGCTCGTAGGCAATGTACGCACTTTGATTTAAATTATATGGTCTTAACATTTTTGCGCGACGCGACGCTCGACGCTCAACGCTCTCCAATGTACTCGAGACCTTACGCTCCGTGTCTGAACGTTTACCATCCTGAAGCGCGAAGCCGATACGCCGCGGAAGTCGACCTTTGTACCTCCGGAGAGGGGAATCGAGCGTCCAGTGATCGGTACCCGCCGTTATACATTCTTGTCGTGTTCTACCTGTCTTGTTAAATGTTGGTATCAGCCGTTGCTGTTCATGTCGCGTTCCGGTGCGCCGCCGCACAGTGTTTCTAAATCAAATTATGCCGGTCAAAAAGGTTAATTTAAAATGTCCAAATTTAGTTTTTCTAATCATGCGATTATATTCATGAGTATCTGAGGACTTATGATGTGTATTTTTGAAACCAAAATATTGATTTTACTATTACAAAATATGCAAATAAATTGATATAATCATATGTATATTGTTATACAGATTTTTTTTTTTTTTTAATTTATTTTATATCATTTATTTTTGTACGTAATAGTTAATATTATAACATAATTGGGGTCTAATGATGCTATTGATAATCTTATAAATGTGTGATGCCTGTTAAAATATCATTATTATGCCTATAACCAACATTATAATTTAATCACTAACTAAAACAGATAAACTTATCATTTAAGTATGTTTATTCTTCGAGTTTCACGTTGTGTCGCTAATATTCTATTATAATATGGTCAAATGATAAATATTTCGATTACATTAGCTGCACATAGTTGCACAATTTTCGTTGCTGTATGGTTAAACTTTGTGTTCCGCGATTTCAACGTTTTGACAATTTGACAATTGACATTTGACATTTGACAATTTCTAATTTAATATGGCTTCTAAAACAACTATTACACCCGCAATGATTCACGAACTAATTTTAAAAGAAGCAAAATCAATATCGATTGTACAAAAAAAAGTAATTGTACTTGATTATGTGTTAAAAATTTTAAAAATTGATTGCAATGATATCGAATTACAAGATACAATTAATATTGTCAAAAAAAATTTAAATACATCATTTTTCAACAGGTAATATATTTCTATTGTACTTAATCAATAATTTAGGTTTTGATTCTATTTTTAAAATTTAAATACATTACAGATATTTTGATAAATGGAATTCTTGTTTGAGAATGAATGACCGATTTTTGAAAGAAAATCACAACTGGCTTGAGACTTATATTAATTTTTCTGATGCTGCGTACAAGTGTACACTTGATTTACAAAGTAATTCATTTGTCTTTAAATTTATATAATGAATAGGTAGGAGGTTTATGTAATAATATGGTATTTTAATATTTTTTATTGATATACTTTAAAAAATATTATATTTATTATTTTTTAGAGGTAGCAAATCGCAGTAGTGGTAGACCGAGCAAAGACTTCAATTTGAGTTCTGATAGGTCTAAAAGAAGAAAAACATTAGAACTAAGATCTACAGTTCCATCAATACAAATAACACATGCAGCGTCTTCTAGTTTGTTTAATGAAGGTAATATTGAGGCTGGCACGTTAATTAAAGAAATTATAAGTACACCCACCAGAGCAAAAAAAAATTTAAAAAAATGGAAAAACACAGAGCATAATCAACCCGAAATGTCACCCGAAGAAGCTTTAGCATATATCATGGAATGTAACATGTCAGTAGACACATATAATAAAACTCGTGAAATAGCTTTGAAACATGGTCATAGCCTTTTCCCTTCATATAAAAAGGTTCTCTCAGCAAAAAAAGAAACATATCCGTCTATAATGGATGTAACTGAGAATGAGTGCAGTACACCACTCCAATCGCTACTCGATAAAACTTCTTCTAGATTATTGACAGTTATTAATAAAAACACTGAAGAACATGTTGCTTATAATTTCATTATTAAATGGGGTATGGATGGTTCACTTCAATCTACATACAAACAAACGTTTGGGAGCGATCATGGCTATGACGACTAGTACCCCTTCAGCTCAAAAATGAAGAATCGAACGAAGTTTTATGGAAAAATCCTAAACCATCCAGTAGTAGATTATGCCGACCTATTAAACTACTATGGAAAAAAGAAACAATAGATACTTTAAAATAACAAGAAAAAATTATAACAGAACAAATATCCAGGCTCAATGACTACGTTAGTAACAATGTAATTATAAAATACAATTTACAGATGACAATGATAGATGATAAGGTAAATTTTAATAATTTATATTTATACAATATTTACTTATATTTAAGTACGGCGCGCCGCCGTCAATACGCGTTTTTGTTCCGTGCACCCGAGCCTTCGCTGCTCACGAACTCGTCGCGTACGTTTTGTTTTTCTTCGCGATTCGAGTTCCGGCCGTTTGTGTCGAAACCACGATTTAAGATAGTATGGTTGCCCATCGACCCATTAGAAAAATGTTATCACACGGCATACGGTTTGAATCGAAAAGTCACGTGATTTACGGGGCCCCCGCATGCAGCGCAGTAGTATATATTTGTATGTTCACAGCCAGCTTTTCCAGGGAAAAAAAAAAGTTCAAGGGGGGAATGTCCCCTTGGAGCACTCAGATTTACCGTGTAACACAATTTCACACTGATTGACTACCAAATTTCGTCTCACACAAAAAAATATTTAACATTTATCAATTTTTAAAACTAAAATAAACATTTAAAAAAAAAACACAAATTATTAAATCACAGTTTTTTTATTGTTACAAATAAATTCTTAATAATATTTACACAAGAGTAGTATGATTTGGTATGTTCAGACCGCTGACCCTCTGACCCTTCTGACCGCTGACCATTCTGACCCTCTGACCCTTCTGACCCTTCTGACCCTCTGACCCTTCTGACCCTTCTGACCCTCTGACCATTGGCCGCCGCACTTCGCGTACGTGCGCGACTTATATTTTTGACCACCGGCGGCACATTGCTCACGTGTGCGACATGTATATTTTCCCCGCCACCCTTTTCCCTGCCATCATCGCCCGCCGCACCTTTCGTACGCATGCGCATCGTTCAGATGACCACCGGCTATTAGTATACATCCCCTATCACTGACGCATGCGCACTAAAATTTCCCTTACCTGTTAAACTTCTAGAGACTACACCCGCACCTATCGTACGCATGCGCACTGTAAAATTCCCCCACCTGTTAAACTTCTAGAGACATCTGACGACTCGGCAGTCAGCAATCGTTTAGTCCGTCTACTGCCCTTAACCGTTGTTCACGTATATTTTTTCGCTCGCTCTGAAAATTGTTTGTATATTTTTTCGCTCGCTCTGAAAATTGTTTGTGAGTTTAAACATGGCTGGATCAAT